TAAGTATAGACACACATTATTACTTCTGAATATATTCATAAACTTTTAGTGAACTGAACGTCATGAAAAGAAATATTTTTTAACTAAAGAACTGAAATATAAATATAGACATATTATTAAAAATACTAAAAAACTGAAATCAATATTTTTCGATAAATGAATCCAACAATCAAACTTACCAAACAAACATCTCGTAACCATAAATCTGGACGCCACACTGGACTCATATGGCCGTTCGATGTGCTCTTCCCGTTTGCTAACTTGGTCTCCATCAAGTGCAATCAACACCTGGATTAATTCTACCCAGTTCTATTTTTAATTATGACTTCAACCTAAAATTCAGTTACGTTTAATATTTGTCGAAAATTTCCTGAAAAAAAATAGAATGCCAGTAAACAAATGCGCCGCTTGACGAACACTAAATTGTGGAGAAAATGGAACACGCGAAAATTTGAACAAATGAATTATTTTGCATAATAACTCATAAGATAGGCGCCTGATCCGTTAAAAAAAACAGGCACTAGCGGGGAATTTCAAAGAAAAACATTTCAAGAAATGCAAAATCTATCCAGATCTGGATAGATCCCACTTTTCACAACTGAAGAAGCAGTTCTGCTTAAGAAATAGAATTCTTAAAATAAGCATTAATTGCTAGTGGCATATTGCCACATACGACGAATACACCACAGTTGTCTGCACGCAAGCTATAATAATCTACCGTACCCTTTCGGATAATATGAGAAAAGAGATGAAAGAGATAAAGATTATATGAAGGGGTCAAATTGAAGGAATCTTATCAAATGTATACGAGGAAGCATCACCCTTCAGTATAACAATAAGCATGCATTTTGTTGCAACCAGATCAAGAGTCTTTCTAATTTGACGATGAACGTTTGATGATCACACGATTCTGGAGTCATATGCAGAACGTTTGCAATGCCAGTCAGTAATCATCGAAAATGAATCAACCTCACTCGATATTCGCTGAAAGCTGCAGGAATCAACTCAAAAATCAATCTAAAGTGATAGTTGAATCTGTAAAATTTACACTATAAAAATATGCAGCATACATCGGATAATTGTTCGTAGACGACCGAAACACTAGTTAATGAACATCTCACGACAAGAGCATTCGTATATAAATCTTTATTATTGCTGTGGATTCAATAACGAACAGCCATTAATTCTTCATACAATTTAGAACTGATATGATCACATAATAACTGAATTATCACTGACTGATACTGGCAGATATATACTGATCAACAGCTTGCAGGTATTGATTGACTCGACTAAATGGCATGAGTAATGTAACAGTTGGAGGAAGCATCGAGGAGAATGGTTTCTGTGAGAATATTTCAACTAGAGAAGGTGACTATGAAGATGGTGCATCTTTTCGAGTAATTAATCACAGAATTCTGCATTGAGAATGCTCAATTTTGATAGCAGTTTATTGAAGATTGAAATGAGATTTGCGTATGAGAGACCATTAAAATGTTGAATTGAATGAGTGAAATTAAAAACAATTCGCTTGCAATAACAATAGTATACATAAGCAATCGTCATTCAATATGAAGCAGCAATAGAATCGATGTCGTTGCATTTGAATACTCCTCAGACGCGAATGATCACAAGTCCTCCAGTGCTTTTTCGAGTGCTTCATCAATATCGATTTCATTACGATTTCGACTGACTCGAATCGGTGGATCCGCTAACGGCATCAACGTAACGAACGCACATCGACACGACTCATCGACTGTCATCACCGCACCCGCATTGTTGAACGTACCACAATAGTTTGGTGCCGAGAAGATTGTCACCAACAAACGATTCGCAAAAAATTCATATCCATCCTGAAATGACGAAGATCGCATGAAGTTATTTCATCTCTATTCATTTCATTTCACGTCACTTGCGCTCCTCTCATAGCCCTCCTTCATGATTCTGGATTATTTGATTAAGTTTCTTAATGATAATGAAATTTGCTAT